CCTTATGAGTGCTTGTAAAATGAAATGATATAGTGGAACATGAACTCAGTGGGAGTGTGGTCCCTCGTGGACCATACTAAGCAAACGATGTTTGTTGATACCAGACTGTGCTTAACAATCTAGGCCAGTCGGTTGGGAAAAACCCATGTTACCTGGGCGTAAAGAACAAATTGAGAAGAGTTCTAATAGGTTAGCCCTTGATGAGGTTGGAGAATATGCTCGGATGAGTGAGCCGAGGGACTGTGTGACCCTTGTGTGTGATGGTGGTCTATAAAGACGGGGGCCAAAGCCTCATCCATGTTCTATCATACAACATGCATATCGATAGATCGCGGAAAAACTAGAAATCCACTTTTTAGGGTGAAGTGTATGCATGTGCAAGAGATACCCTTATGCACTATAGGAGTTGTGGTCGCAGTAGGTCTAGGTGGCCTTCACTCGTCTCTAGGGGAGGACCTGAAATCCACAGACTGAGATTGCGACTCCTTGGCTCATCGGTCGAACTTTGGTGACCTGCTAATGAGCCCCTGCTTAGACTGTGGGTCAAGAGAAATACTGGGTCGGTCTGATAAAGCAAGTGTGGTCTGTAGTCCACAGTTGAAGGTGGAGTGCTCCATGATTGTTGATTCCTAAACCATATGGATCATTTTTCCATCAAATTAATTTAATTGTATTTTTTTTATGATGAAAATTATTTTAAAATTATTATTTGAATTTTTATGAATCTTTGGATGTTTTATTTATAATTTTTGGATTTATAAAATTAAAGATATTGATTTTACAATGGTTTATATATTCGAATAATATTCTAAAATATTTTTATTAATTTTAAATATATAAAAATATCATGGGTGCCAATTGTGCACATAGGCCCACCATATTTCTATGAGTGCCTCCCTTGGGTGGCACGCCCTACCCATATTCTCTTTCCTATGTTTTTGGTGATATAGCATGTGGTCATATGGTTGAAAAATATGACTAAATATTGACTTGATATATCTTTGAAAAATTTTGTCGGAAGTTTGAATAGACATGTTACTTTATGGTATGCACATTATTTTGATTAGATATAATTTATTTAATTTTTATTGATGAGAAAATGGTTTAGAAAAGGGGATAATGGTTTGTACACACTTCATAATGTTGATGACCCATCTATGGAATTGATGACTCAAATTTCTCTCCCCACAAGTCATCCAAAATCAATGGTTATTCAATCTCACAAGAAAAGGCAAGCCAAAGAAAATCATAAGAAATCCTAATTTTATTCAAAGCCTATAAAAAAGGATTATCTCCACCCAAAAATCTTTACACCTTATCTCTGGTACCTAATTCTCATATTTTTCTCTCATATCCCACAAGGGGCGAGCTCCACTTAGAATTTCTCTCTCTCTTAAGAAAAGCTCCTCTCTCTCATGAAAGCCAAATGGGGCACGCACCACGCTCTCATCTTTGATCTCTCTCTACCATATTGTGAAAGAACCTAAGCGTTTAGGTTATAGAGTTATTCTCTCTCTTTATCTGTCAACTATCGATTTATGGCTAGAGGTTTTAAGGTTTAGCAAAAAGATAATACATCTCTCTCAAACTAGGTTGCTAAGAGAATTCATCTAGGGTTTAATTTTGTGATCAAAGAGGTTCATGTTCTATTGGTCCGGTTGAGATTGAAGGTTGATCATTGATCCCGTACCATCGGATGGTGGTGACTTGGTATGGGGTGTAATAAGCCTCTGGTTGAAGTAATCTCCGGCACTCTTCCTTTTGTTTCTTACAATCTTATCTTTTATTATTAAGGATAGTGCATAGTTGTTTCAATGACATCAAGTTATTAAGATCTTGGTTTTATTGTTATATTGATTTTATTTTAAAATTTATATTATTGTAATAAAGATACCTGTAAATTATCTTTTGCCAAAAGAAAAGTGTGAAGAAAAAAAAAAAATGTATTTCCCGGTAAAAGATCGCATATGTCTTTCTTTCATAAATATCCCTTTTATTACAATGAGTTGAATTTAAGCTTCATTTTGAATCTGAAATGGATATAATGGTCAACAAAACACCCAAACAGTAAACATATTCTCAATATTTACATGTTTTTTTATGAAGTAATAAAAAACCACTATGTAATGCACCCAGTTTCATTGTTATCATAAGAAATTAAATTTTCAAGATATTTTGTTATTTAAAAAAAAATTTAAGGCTGGATAGAGCCAATTCTCTGATCCAAACCACGCCACCAATCCGACACGATTTTCCGAATGAATAACCCGGTCACCGATCCATTTTTTTAAAACCTTGCACTATGTGAATAGAATAAGTGGTATTTGAAAATCTTAATCGAGAGGAGCATGGATATTTGGAGTTGGGACCTCTTTACCATGGTGCTAATGAATAAGGTTGTCCATGCATGTGTAGGATAAAGATCAATTTTTATTTTTAAAATTTCCATTTTAATTTTAAAAAATAAGAAATATAACACTTTCTTGATTTTTATTTTAATTAATAATTTGATTTATCTAAAATCAATGCCAAACTAAAATAATGGATTTGAAAATCAATTTATCATTACGGAATAAAGTTCTAATAAATAATGTTTGATTAATTCTTAAAATTAGCTTGAATCCCTTAATTTTTTTTGTTTTTTATTTTTATTTTTTATTTTTTATTTTTATGTTCAATGAAATTAAGGAATACTTAAGTGATACTATTTTCTTTTAACACTATAAAAGTTTACAAGATACTTTGTTATTACTTAAATTTTTTTTATTTTAGAAATAATATTTATCAATTAATATAAAATTTAAAACTATATATAATTCGATTTGATGGGCCTATGCACGGCACGAGTTTTGGGCTAGTCATCATCATGCAATAAGAGCCCTTGATTTTACTTTATCTAATAATAGCCTTTAGAGTTTTCTGCCTAGAGTCCCAACTCCCAAGTAAGGTTTCCTTACATAAGTGGGATTAAGATATATCCTAATTTAATGGAACTCTTCAGTTTCTATTTCTTAAGTGAAAGAAATTAGTAGTACCTCATCTTTTCAATTATTGATTTTTATTTTTCATAAATAATTTATACCTATTTAAAACAATATATTCAAAAATCAATAATATTACGTTCTAAAATATTTTGATTTTCTAATTAAAATAGTAGTATTTAAAAATCATTCATGCCAATTCTAAATAAGGGATTAAAAAATGAGCAATTTAATACTTTCCAAAAAAAAGTTTAAAATTTTGTTACTTTAAATTTTTTATATACCAATTCAAAATATGGGAGAGAAAATAATTTATGTAAATTTATAGTAAGATAGTTTCTCTTACGAAAATTAGGTACTTTCTCTATCTATATGTGGGAGAGAAAATAATTTATGTCAATTTATAGTAAGATAGTTTTTTTTAAAAAAATTAGGTACTTTTTCCATCTAAAATTTGACAGAGTTTCATTATTTAAAATTTTAAAGTGGTTCCTCTCTTTAAAACTTAAATTTTGAGATACTTTCTTTCTCTAAAATTTTGAGATTGTTTCTCTCTAAAAACATTTGGGTACTTTTTCTCTCTAGAAATTGGCATAATTTCTCTCTCTAAAAGTTTGAGGTGCATTCTCTATCTAAAACTTAAAATTTGAGATAGTTTCTCTCTTTAGAAGAGTTGAAATAGTTTCTCTTTTTAGAAGAGTTGTGATAGTTTCTCTCTCTAAAAAATTTTCATATACATTCTCTCTCTAAAATTCTATTTTGTTTTTCTTCAAATTTTAAAGTCTTTTCTTTCTCTAAAACTTAAAATTTGAGATAGTTTCCCTTTCTAAAATATTAATATACTTGCTCTCTCTAAAATTTAAAATTTGAGATAATTTAGTTCTCTAAAATTTTTAAGATAGTTTCTTTTTAAAGAATTTCAGGTATTCTCTCTCCCTAAAATTTTATAAAGTTTTTGGTATATATTACTAAACATGTCAAACGTAATTTTCGCATGAAAATATTTTCATGCAAATATTATAGTTTCTTTTTAAAGAATTTCAAGTATTCTCTCCCTCTAAAATTTTATATAGTTTTTGGTATATGTTACCAAACATGTGAAACGTAATTTTCACATAAAAATATTTTCATGCAAATATTTTCATAGCTAACAAGTGTGCCCGAAGTTTCGGGCTGAGGGGCCGGAGTAGAATCCTTGGCATTGGAAATTCAAAAAAATAGGTTTTATTGTGGAAATGAAATTGTAGAAAAGTTAGGTGATTCTTTAATATTCATATCCATGAAATTTGAATATCCTAACCATTAAGTAAACCAAAAGATATGTTTTAGTAATATCCAATATATAAAAAATCCATACCCAAAATCCACGTGTTCAAATGGATTAATGAATAAATAAAAAATAACACCAAAAAATTCAAGGGTTGTTAAGAAATGATCTCTAACCTTTTTTTATTTTAAAATATTAATGAAAAGCAGGGCATTCTTCCCCCATTGATTTACCCCAAAAAAAGTTATTTTTTATAAATACCAAATACGTTAAACCTGGATCTTTTAACTTTTAGCCATTTGATATGAAAATGAGTGGCTACATAAAGTATTTCAAACTAAGTGACACATTCCAAGATGTCGGATTTCATGTCTGAACGATAGGGGTGATACTTTAATCCCTGTGTCAAAAGTAAAAAGATGATATGCTTTCCTTGTGCCAAAATGATAACACGCATTAGAAACAAAACTCAACCAAATAAAACCTACCTCTGCTTTGCTTAAAACAGAGCAAGACCAAAACACATAAAATCCAGAAGCATTTTATTGAAACTCCAGCACTTGCAAATCCTAATACTTGTTGCCTCTTAAACAAAAGATGTTCAATATCCACCAACCCTTAAAACGCTAAACCTTAAAGGGCGGTGCAATCAGCAGGGACAAAAGAAAGAATATTATCATTGACATTAAACTCCACAACCATGTTCTGCTGAGCCATGTTCCCCATAATGGAGAGCTGGAGCTGTTCATCGGCGGGGCGAAGGGCCAAACATATCACATCTGCACTCGCCACTTCAAACGAGTTCTGGGGCGGCATTATCCAATCGGCACCACCCGAAAAATGATATGTTATATCAGGGATCCCCTCGTAGTTGTTAGGTTTCTTATAGCAGAGCTCCAACACTATATCAGGATCGGTTGAGGGGTCGTTTGCTGCCTCTAATTGGATCACATCTTTCAATTCATCAGTGAGTGGTCCGTATCCTCCATTTGCCAGAAAGTTCAATGTGGTGCCGGAATCAATTATGAACCTTCCACTATCGAACGTTCCTACAGGGATGTTGAGCCTCTTGTTGCCTACGCTAATGCCCTCAAGCCCTAGGAAGTGGTAGGTCGGAATGTTAGGATCCCTTAGTATCTGTGTTCTCTTGGTGTTTGGCCCATCGAACACAGGATTATCTCCGAATATCAATTTGCCCATGGCATCAGTGGCCGTGCTCAAGGTCAAGCAATATGAGTACTTGCCAGCAATTATGCCCCCCAATTGGGAGGTTAGCGAGAGGGGCCCTCCTCCAAGCCCAGCGACGCCCGCCATGGCAGGGACAAAGTTCCCAGTGTTTGTTCGGCCACACCCAAAACCGATTCCGGTGATCACCGTCTGAATTGCATCATTAGTGGTAATAATTGTAACACTAGGACTAGTACTAGTAGTGCTAGCACTTGGAATAGTGCCATTGTTAGAACTAGGAGTTGAATCTGAACTCAAATTGATGGTTGAACTAGGATTAGTTTTTGCAAAAATGTGATTTGATCTAGGATTAGTGGTGGCACTAGAACTATAGTGAGGATTAGAATTGGTTTTACAAGGACTAGAGAGAGGATTATTGCTTGCACTAGAATTATAGCCAGGGTTGGCATTGATTCTATAAGGAGAAGAGAGAGGATTAGTGGTGGTGGCATCAACTCTAGAGGTCTCGAAAGTGAACGATTCGGTTGCAAGTATGCCAGTACTATGTGATTGATCAAGATATACGACAGTGTAAGGGCAGGGATTTGCAGGAGGGGTACCTCCATGGTAGGCTTGACATAGAGGGGCAGTGCCTTCAAGCGCGACAAATGTGCATGAATTCTCAGGATCGTATTTCTCGCCATCTTGTTCAAAGCAGTTAGCGCAAGGCTCGCACTGAGTCCACACAAGATCGCTCCCCGTGTCAAAACTTAGCCAGAATGGTTGGGGCGGTGTCCCTATGGAGATTTTCATAAGGTACTCACCTGGTATTCGCTTCATATCGGTTCTAAGATCCGACGGTGAGTATTTCCCGGAGATCTCCCATTGCAAGGCATTGTGGCGAGAGATGGAACGCTCAACGGCTAGCTTGCGAAGAGCATAGGGAGAAGCCGAGGGATCGTGGAGCGGAGAATGCACTGAGTCACAGTGGTGAAGATCTACACGGAATGCGGTAGGATTTGGAGAAGGATTAGAGAGGGAGAAAGAGAGGGTGAGGAGGAAGAAAGAGAGAGCGATGACTCCTTGGTATGCCATGGCTCTGCGAATACGGACTTGTTTGTGGGGACATGTTTGTGTGTTTGCAGTGGATGGGATTTTAGTAATGGAATAAGTTGCAGTTTTTGCAGTATTTCCTAATTCAGAGATTCCTCTTTCTCACTTGCCGTTTGCTGTATTTCGTAATTCAGAGATTCCTCTCTCACTTGCCAAACAAAAGTAACTGATTGTTTCTTTATGTTGTGTCTCTCTCTCTTTAATCCTTTCCTTATTTAAAAAATCTTAATGTTCACCTATTAATCTCTAGAGCTGTCCAGATTTTCTCTATATTTCTTTCTTTAACTTAATATTTATATCCTTTATTGGCCATCTTCCATCCTTCCTTATTAGAGCATCAAATTCTCTCTCTCTCTCTATCAATCTTCAAACTCAATTCTCTCTCTATCAATCTTCACCCTTCCTAGCAATGCAAGGAGGCTATTTATTTCACTCTGTTTCACTCTCTCTCTCACACTCTTATTTGAACTCTCTCTTTCTCTCTCTTACTTTCTTTAGAGAGATTTTAAGAGATTGAAAAGATTTTAGGAGAAAGAAATTAAGGGTGGCAATGGGTCGGGTCCAGCTAGACCCAGACCCAGTATTTGGGTCCAGGTTTTAGACACAGATCCGATCTGTTGGGTCCAAATGTTGGATCCATACCTAGACTCATGTCGGGAATACACGGTAGGTCCCAAGTCAGATCCGAGTCCCTAAAAAAAATAAACACGTATAAATTTTGGGAGAGACTTTAACAGAGACTTATAAATGAATATTGTACATCCATCTACATTCCTCAAGCTTTAACAAAAGGGATTGGATCGAACTGTGTATTTTTCTAAGTTCATGATAGAAATATATACGTGATAAAAAGATATTTTCTAAGTTCATGATAGAAATATATACGTGATAAAAAGATAATTGTTGTTCTTGTCTCTTGAATTTTGAAATGGGTGGTTGTAAAAGTGTCATTGAATAGACAAAGTTTCAAAAAAAAAATTCTCGACTCACTCTAAGCCATTGACTTCATGACTCATCCTAAGCCATTTAATTTGACATTTAATGAGTGAGAATGATTGTGACATCCATATATAAAATATAAATAATATTTTTATAAAAAATCCCATATATAAATAACTTATTGTAATTGTCTCAAAAAAAAAAAAAGGAAGCGTAAAATAAGAAATAAAAACCATCGCCCGATTTCATACGCCATGGGTAGAGGTTATTAAGACTTTTCTTGCCCCAAAGTTAATTGGTTTTTTTAGAATAGTACAATAATTTTTAGAAAAATTTAGCTAATTTTCATCTTTTTATAAAAGAGTACAGTTTGTATAGAGCCGAGGCTCGAAACAATCAAAGTAGAGTATACATTCAAATAGTGTCGAGAAATGTAGTTTCAATACTGGAAGTCTTTGTGATTTCCTTAAAATATATTTTCAACTCTAATTATAAAATTTAAAGATTTAAAAATAGTATAGATAGAAAAAAACTTGAAAATCTTGAAACTTGATGGTCCAAAAATGTGTTATAAGATGCACTATTTTCAAAACTTCAAATCTATTTTTTCTCATTTCCATGGATTTTGATATTTTCAAAACTTCAAATCTATTTTTTTCTCATTTCCATGGATTTTGATATTGAGATGATCAATTTGTGATATTTGAGCATAAAAAAAACCGCTTTCAGTGAAATTTTTGAGGTGGGCTCTAATTTGATTGTTTAGAGCTCTAGCTCTAAACTTTCATTTTTATAAAATAAAAAAATATATAAAACGATCATGTATTTTTAGTACAATGATGTCACAACCATTTTTGTCCATCAAATTTCAAATCACATGGTCAAAGCTCAACAATTTTTTTTTGAATTTCGTGATGTACTTCAAACCATCTAGACATCCAATAGCTAAGATTAATTGTGATCTTCTTGTATTAAAGATAAATGGTCTTATAGTATGCGATCCCAACTTATAAAATATTAAATATTATTCAAATTAACATATTATAGATTTCGAAGAGCTACAAGATCTTTTCTAGTGTTTGCATTATTACATGAAAACACACGCGAGTGTCAATGTCTACAAGTATCTAATAGTTCTGCCCAATGGTTTAAAAAACGGATCGGTGACCCGGATCGGGCTTCCAAAAAACCGATCCGGATCGGCGAATCGACGATCCGGATCGGGAATCGGGTGAATCGGTCAGAATAAAGCTTAAAAAAAATTCGAAAAAATTATTAAAATTCATTATAAATATTGTTTTTTAAA